AGGGGAGGGGTGGCATTCAGTGGCATACCTAGCGTATTTGACACCTGGGGCGGATCATTTTTTCACATTCCCCATCCTCTATACGACAAAACTATTTTCACTACTAATCATGATATAAAACAAATAATAATAAAAATAATAAAATAAATATTACAGTACAAAAAAGAACAAAAGAAATGGAGTAATACTTTTTAATTACATCCCTATTACGAGATGTAAGGAGAAGAGTATCCTGATATCCAGTTACCGTAATGTCATTGTTTATACCTCAGCACCCATGTCTCCAAATTTTTTAATCAGTGTTTTGAAATATGCCTGGGAATCCTCTAATTTATTGTTGGAACATGGAGAAAGATTTATGAAAGAAACATACTATTTAAGAAAAAGAGGTATGGCAAAGATTCTGGACTTACAATGTACCCTAATATGAAACACAGCTAAAACCCCTAATTTAATTTCTTTTCGAATGTTATCGCACGGGGGTGGCCCGCATGCGGCTCTTTCACACATATTGTGTGGCTCCCGGCAGGGTGGCTGGTGAAGCTAAATATCATTAGCAAACAAATATCATTGGACAAATAAATATCATTATCAATATCTGCTTTTACCGCTTTTGTTATTATTTTTGGCAGTCTGATTTAATGTTAATAAAAAGCAAATTTGCATATTTCCCAGTAAAAACATGTAATATCTGTTCATGTCTTGCGGCTCTCAAACATCTGACATTTATTCTTTGTGGCTCCTACGTTAAGCAAGTTTGGCCACCCCTGTTATAGCAGAAGAGATGGTTCTCTTTAACATGAGTACTATGAAATCTTGAAGAAAGTATACAGAAGCAAGTTTTTTTCCCCCCTCACTGCACTGTTGAGGACGGATTGTTATCAACTTACTTCCCTAAGGTTCCACTCCATCTAGAATTTATCCCCCTTCTCTTCCTTAATATGCAAAAATCTTAATTTAGAACTAGTAACATCCAAACCAGACTAGATAATGGTTCGCCTTGAAAATTTATTATGTCCCCAAAAGTTCAAACTTTTTTTTTTTGTAATCAGTACAATTAGCAAATTTTGCATAAAATTATGCACACTTGCATCCAAACTCCAGACAGTTGCACATATCTGAATTTGTAGTAAAAATGTACCCAGGACTAGACTGGATGGTATGAGGAGTCCAGAGAACATCTTTGCCTGGAGGCTTGCCTTGGCAACCACTAACTGTTTTAACCAAGAGCCCTAGAATACCACTGATGCCAAACATTCATAATATATGCAAGCCTCTACAAATTATGTAGAGTTAGTTCATACTTTGGGAGAAATTCTCTTGGTGTTCCTGTGCCTTCAAGGTGAGGCGGGTTGTCACCAGGGATAAGGCTTGTTCAGTAGTTCCTTCTCAGTCACCTCCAACTATGAAATGCCTTCCCCACTCCCTGCCCTTGCCTCCATCTCTTAGCATCTGTCAGCACCAGGCCTTTTTATTTCCAGATAACTGTTAATTAATTGCTGGCCCCTGTGGCCTCCAGTTGCAGATCTGGACTATACTCCTGTGACTGAGTGTGTAACTTCAAGAGCCTTTCCACACAACCAGTTCTGCATCCTCTACTTCCGCCCCCCTCTTGTTTGCAGTTTCTTTGGCCTTGCTGTGCTGTCCTCTTCTTCCAAGTACCAGGATGCCCTTCCCCACCTGCCAGGGCCAGAGCTTTGAACTACCTGCCTTGTGCATCCATTATTGATGGGCTTCCCTGAGCCTGCAGGATTGAAAGAAGAAGGGGGAACATTGGGACAGTGCCTATTGTTAATGTGCCAGGAAGGAGAGCTAAGACCTGTGTAGTTTACACTGGAGCTGCTACCATCTTTCAAAAAATAGTGTGTGCTGAGTATCTCCCCCCTCCCCCCACCCCCTTCAAAAATGTTTCTGAGACAGTGATTGCATAAAACCAAGAATGCATATATAAATGCATGTCATTCAAAAATGACTTTTGAATCATTTGGAAATTGTGCATGCTTGAAACTTGTTACTTTAAAATGCCTTTTGGCAGGGCATGCTGTAAGACCTTATGGAAGGAGCACACACACACTCCATTAATGTTGGTGTATTTCACTGGGAAGTGAGCAAGTGAGTCAATGAGGGTAAAACAAGCACCCGTCTTCAGCATCCCAACATTCTAATCCAGGAGTGTCCAAGGTTTTTTTAAACATTTATTTTCTCAATGTGAGGGACTCAGTAAAATTAAACTTACAAATAAATATGTAAAAATAAGGCTGCTGAGGTTTTTCTCACAATATATAGGGATGCTCATCTGGTTGGGTTTCGCAAAGAGTCTTCTCCCTTGGTAAATATGCAGTGGATATTCATTACTGACTGGTTATTTTTCTTATTTAATGGTTTAATATTGATAGCAGTTCTGAGGTGCTTCTGCTGTACAAGTTGATTTTTTTACAGATTTCAGTTTTAGGTTTTTATGTCATTGCTGGTTATTGGATTTTGGCATTGTTTTATCTTTTGTTACGAGCAATTTTAATATACTGTGAACTTCCGTGCATGCATTTCTACAGAGGAAACAGCACAGAGATATTTAATTAGTTCTGTGGTATTTATTCCCAAATAAGCACATGTAGGATTACCGCTGAGTTCTTTTTACAATAAATCAATGTATTGTTAAATGAAAAAGTGAGATACAAATTATGTTATTAACCACTGTATTAAATTGCTCCTTAAGCAAGCGTTCAGAGATATGAAGCCTCGTTCCTCAGAATTTGCTACTGCATGCAATTCTTCTTAATACATTCCGTAATAAATTTTCCAGTGGCAGAATGGGACATTCTTACCTTGCCCCTCAACTGTAGCTGGCTGATCTCCACAGAGTGGGAATACAATTTCCAGCTTTCTCTGGGCTCAGAGAGCATCTCCATAGGAGGTGGCTGTGGAAATGGAGCTATGTACTGTGGTGCATGTTTGCCTGGCTGGCTTGGCAGCAGCTACTGTTTACCTCTGAGCCGCACATTATGGGTGCTGAGTGCTGTGGAGGCGAAGCCGGGGGGGGGGGCTCGCTGCATTCATCTGGCCAAGTGGCTCCTCTGAAGTGAGTGGGAAGGGATGGAGGCAGTGCTTATTGCCTGCCCTGTGCTTGAGCAGACCACTCCTACTACCCCGCCCTTGGTACGCCCCTGGTGGCATTTGAATTGGAACTTTGTGAGTGGCACAGGGAAGTTAACTGTATTCCCTGTGTCACCCCCCCACACACACACACAAATTGTTGCCTCCAAGTTGCCATTAGACCCAGCACAGGGGGAGGGGACCAATCATCGATATTATTATCAAGTTTTTCCCCTTTCTGTTTAGTCTAATGACAGCTTGGAGGAATGGATTTCTCTAGGGAAAACACCATGTGGGGGAACAACATTATTTATTTATTTAAAACATTTTTACTCCCAGCGCTCATGCAGAATGGCCCCAATTCAGTTGGCCCTCTCCATGACAGCTTAAACTACAGGTTAGGAAATCCAGTCACGGGTCCCAAATGTTGCGTGTAGTTTAACATTTGATCCCCTAGATCAGGATGGTTCTGCAGTTATGGCTGGAACTGAGTATATTTGGATCTTATCTTTGCTACCTCATGTGTTGAGCCACTGGGGTTTTGGGTGAGTGCGGGGGAGTGATGTATTTAAACTCCATGGCAGTTCCACTCATCCAAGCACCTTGTTGATTCCACCTGACCTAGGAGGACAATAAAATGGGTTTGTGTGGAAGTCGCTCCACATAACAAAAAAGGAGATGTTGCATGTAGTAAAAATAACCAGAACCACACAGAGAATTGCTTTGTTTGAGCAGGATACCAAGTGGCACAATCTCCGTGTGGCTACATGCTCAACAAGCTGCCTCATTGCTGATTGTTTTTGTGAACTGAGTCTTGCAGTTGAAGCAATGTAAAAATGAAGCCGTGTGGAATCTCATTATGTGTATCATAGACAGAAAAGATCCTCATAGAAGAGAAAGTCAGTTTCCTGCCATTGGCCCCCACCACCCTTCTGTGTCTATCTCGTCAGCATACCTACACCTTTGATAGCTGTGTCCCCATATCATTACTGGGCATGAATAAATGCAAATTTAGTGACCACAAGTGGTTTGTGTATCACAGCTCATAACATTATTAAAAACATGTCAATTGTCTTCCCAGTTTAAAGGCTCTGATCCAGAGGAAATCAGTTTGAAATCACTGGGTCTTCAATTGCAACACCTTAAATCTGACTAACTTTCCCTGGGTCAGTGCCTTTGGATACCCTGAAACAACAGTTCCTGGCATCACTTTTGTCAAAGCCTTGGTGCTGTGTATTAAAAACATTTTTGTTATATCCTGTGATTGTGTGAGAGCAATGGATATCCTGTTCATTATACTGAAGTCTTTGGAACTGATTTGGAAACTAGAGAATTTTTTAAAATGTATTTTTTTTCTGACTAGGATATAAATTATATCAGATCGATTTCTATATCTCAGAAGTAAGTGTGCCTTTGATGGTGGTTAAGCTTTTCATTGTTCTTCTTCTTTAAATGACTAACCTGGACTAAGAGAATTGGCGCAAGAGGTATTTTGCAAAATTAAACCTGTTTCACCTGAACATGTTTTAACTAGTTAATAAGAAACATCAAAAACAAAAAAGAAAGGACAAAACCCTGAGGTCAATGATCATTCTTTTTGTAAAGCTAGTATTTGATGTTTAAATTTGTTTTTGGGGGGTCTGTCTATAACATAAGTTTAATAACCTAGCTCAAATGCAGATTTCTAATTTTCAATTAACATAGGAATAATTTTGTTTGCTAAAATAAAATAAAGAATGAATGACGAGTCTGAACCATGAAATGTTCTAGCTAGCACTTTTTAAAACATTCCAAATTTTTCAAAAAAAACATCATGTGGCAATTGTTTAGCTCAAGCTTTAAGTATTAACTTTTAACCTTTGACCTTACAGATTTTAACCAATGAAATGTCTCTTTAAACTTTAAAGGAAACAATGATAACGAGCGCCTGGCGATTGCTAGACAGCGAATTCCATATCGGCTTGGTCGAGTAGTTGATGAATGGCTACTCGACAAAGGTAAAAACATTGATTAAAACTTCAAATAAAAAATAATTTGAACATAACCAAGTAGTGCTTCATTGTAACACCAATAAACATAAAACAATAAATTTTTCAGTAAAACTAAATTAAAAACAAATTTTAAACAGTAAAACATAGAGTAAATATTTGCATACCTTGTATATAATAATTTCTATACATTTTTAGCAATACCGCCTGTTTAATAATCTTACCCTGTTAACTTAAGGTTAAAGGGACTGTTAAATATAATCCACTAACTCAATCTATGAAGGTACTCATAGCAGATATTAACCAAAACTGATAAATCATTCATAGATTATGTTACATGTTCCATCATCTAAATTCTTAACTAAAATATATATTTATATATACATATATGTGTGTGTGTAGTTATGAGATCTTCATTATGGTCCTGAAACAAACAAAAATCATTGTTTAAACTGTAGGTTATATTAAATAGTGGGCAATATGACTTGCCAAACAAGATGAAAGTCCCTTTAACGTTTGCAACCTTCTAAGGGGATTTTGGAACAAACGCTAATTAAAAGTGAGCTTAACATTGTGTGCATGCTTTTATGATGAGCAGAAGCCAATTGGCTAAAGAGAATATCATGTTTATTATTAATAATCATCTTAATAAATGGGTTTGCATTGGTGAGGATTTCTGTTTTAAATAACAATGTGACATGACTCTTCCATCGATACGTGTATCATTCCTTGAAGTTGCTTTTTACATCAAATATTTTCTTTTAATTTTATTGGTTTTTCTTTTAGTCAATAGATTTGCTGAAAGCCAGACATACCTCCGCCTCTCTCTCTCTCCTCTCCCTCTCTCTTGCATTTGTGTTTCTGAAATTTTTAGTATATTTTATGTATCCCATGCTTCCTTAGTGTGTATGTGTGTCAGAATACCAACCCTTTATGTATAAATTCTGAACATTAAAAATACGCAAGCAGATAGTGATATGAAAGCATATAATTTGATGTTAGAATTTATCGGACATGAGAAGTTTTCATATTACATAGAGAAACATTTAGGAATGTATGTATGAGAGAAATGTTTTAAAATCGGTATCAGAACACTTCCAGTCCTGAAAATTTAGTATGGTGCAATTGGTAACCAGAAATCTGACCTATGCACACACACCAAAAAAAACCCCCTAAAATGTAATTCCCCAAAGAAGGGGAAGGGCCAGGGCCTAGGCAGTACTGAAGTGATGATATGAAACAAATTTTTAATTGGCCTTTCAGCAAAAAATGAAGCATAAATAAAAGATATCATCTGCATAGTTCAACTATTCTACATTCCATGGACGCCTCATTAAAAGCAATGAATTATGAGTAAAATCCTTTCTTATAGTTTATTGCTATCATCCTCCACCCCATAATAATCTGTTAAAAATCACCCTATTTAACAGTGTAGTGTTCACAATCAACATTTTTTGCATGTATGTAATACTATCTTTGCAGGACGTCAGCTCACAATCTTCAATAGCCAAGCAACGATAAAAATTGGAGGCAAGGAGCGAGGTCATCCATTTCAGGGTCAGCTTTCCGGACTCTACTACAATGGCTTGAAAGTCCTGAACATGGCTGCTGAGAACGATGCCAACATTGTGATAGAAGGGAATGTGAGACTTGTTGGTGAAGTGCCTTCTATGACAACTGAGTCAACCGCCACTGCAATGCAGTCTGAGATGTCCACATCGGTCATGGAAACCACCACTACTCTAGCTACAAGTACAGCTAGAAGAGGAAAGCCAACCACAAAAGAACCCATTGGTCAGGTTAGTCAAACTCCTTCTAATTTTTAAAACAAAAAGCTGTTATTTTATAGATTGTGTATTTTTGTGTTTTCTGCAAGCACTTTTTCAGGTTCAAAACCCTTTCTAAAGAAATAAGGCTATGGTTGCCTTGGCTAGATATTACCTGTGGTGGTTTCTTTCTTTCGTGGTAGCCTGGTGTGCCAAATCAAATAAAGGGTGGAAATGTGGGTGGTGTGACCTTGTTATCTTCCAGAACATGTCTAGACATGTATTTCCTTTTTTCCTGATGCCAGCCATAACAGGAACACATAGAGATGGGATATTCACTGTACTGCATGATAGCACTCTATTGGATTAGGGCCTAACATCTTCTACACCTGCTTTTGCTCTACAAGTGCAGCATGCATGTTCTGGAATCAAACATATAAGCTGTGGTTTTTAATGAAAGTATTAGCATAATACAAGAACAGGCCCTGGTCCATCTGGATTTATGACTGCTGGTTAGAAAGTCTGCACTAGATTGTCTTTACTAGGAGTTACCTTCTACCAAGTCAAACTAAAGGTCCATTAAGTCCACAACTGTTTATTTAGCTGTTAGCATATTTTTCAGTATTTCAGCTTTCCCCGTTCATATACCTGAGGACATTTAATTGGGGATTGTTCCTCAGATATTTTACATTCATGGAAATGCTTTGTCACATAGCATCAAAATATCCATTCTCATGCAGCCTTTAATGTTGCAGAGTGATGATGATGCCAAATGCTGGAAAGCAAACAATTGGAATAGGAATTTAATATTTCTGAGCCCATCTAAACTTCTGTGCCAACCTTCCTTGCAACCTTTCCCCTTCACTTCTTCCTTTTCCATAGTGTCCCCTTGCAAGTGTTGTAGTCATTGGTAGAAATATCTAGTAGAAGAGAAGGCACCCAATGAAGGTAAAGGGCAGTAGACAGACTTGGGCCATTTACTGCCACAGGATGTAGTTTAGACAAAAAGAAGAAGGAGGACCCATGATACTCACAGGGGGGTATTCCACATGGCTTCCAGCCCGCAGAAGTAGCAGAAGCTCCACATGGAGGAGGTGGCCACAAGTGAGCCCAGCAGGCGGGCCCATCCAGCCCGCCAAGGTTTCCCCTCCACAGCGCCAATGGCAGCAAGCCCTGTGGAGCTCCCAGCCAGCCTTCCAAGGCTTCTCTCCCCCCCCCGACAGCGGCAACTGCAGTGAGCCCTGCATGGCTCCCAGCTGGCCCACCAAGGCTTCTCCCCCCCCCCCCCACCAGGGACACACGCTCACAGCCTTGCGCAGCTCCCACCCACTGGGCCCGCCAAGGCTTCTCCCCCCGGCAGCAGCAACTGTGGCGAGCCCTGTGCTGCTTCCATCCACCAAGCCCACCAAGGCTTCTCCCTCCCCACAGCAGCAATGGCAGCGAGCTCTGCCTCCACCACAGTTCCCAGTGGTAAGTGCATTCTCTGTGCATGCACAGGGAATGCTCCCTTACTTGGGGGGGGATTTAAGTACCCCCCATATAGTTTTTTCAACATTTCAGATTTTTCTGCACACCTGGGGAGTGTTCCAAGTGTGCAGGAAAATCTACTTACCCTCCATGTGGTCCCGATGTGCAGATTTAGATATCGGCACACAGAGAGATCCTTGACTATTAGATATATAGATATGGAGGATGAACAACGTTTGAGTCCAGTGGCACCTTTAAGACCACAAAATTTAATTCTGGGTATAAGCTTTAATGTGCATGTGCACTTCTTCAGATATCTGAAGATCAGGTATCTGAAGAAGTGTGCATGCACACAAAAGCTTATATCCAGAATTAAACGTCGTTGGTTTTAAAGGTGCCACTGGACTCAAATGTTGTTCTATTGCTTTAGACCAGCACGGCTACCCACCTGAATCTATCATATGGAGGCTAAATCCATCCGTAGCCATTATTATCATGATGTATAAATGAAACTTCCATATTCAGACACAGTACATTTCTGAATAATAGTCCTGAGAGCAATAAAAGGTGCAGACCTTGGCCTCTGAGCCCTACTTGTGGGCCTTCTGAGAGCATATCATTGGCCACTGTGAGAAAAAAGATGCTGGATCAGATGGACCTTTGATCTGCTTCAGCCTGCATATGTGTTCATATGCAGTCTCATGCTTAAGGGCTACGTTCTTGTATGAAGATGTACATATACTTCTAACAACATCATGAAACACTGAGAACTACATTTTATACGTTGCTGCATGTGAGTGGAGGCACCCATACATTTCTATCAAGAGGTACTGGGAACTAAATTTCCTATGTTTCACTGCATTTGTAGCATGAGGTAAACATGAGGTCTCTAATGTAGTCAGTGCTTCCCAGCACAAGCTGTCCAGTTCCCCTTCAGAAGGCTGATTTCCGGAAAGGGGAGTGCAGTGGTCTGGAGGTAATGGAGCCCAATCCAAATTAGCTTTAACAAGTTGATTTGGATCCATTCTAAGACTTGGAGGAGCTTTCACACTGCTAATATAGTAATGTAACTCTATCCCCTCCCCCCATTATTTCTGTATAACTGCCTATGAAGTGGTATAAGCAGTAGTTCTCTGGGTTCTTGGTGGGATCTCTCTGAACTATGTGACGGATTATCAAAGAGGTGAGGGGAAAGCAGCTTACAGCCTTCTTTAATTGCCCACCTGAAAGCAACTTGAATAAGGCCTTTGAAACAGTGGTCTTCAATGAAGGTTAATGTACTAGGGCATTTCATCAAAGAGGAATAGCTCTGAGTTAGTTAGCTTTGCTACTATCCTATTCTGGACTTGCTAAAATGTCTGCACATAGCTTAAAGGTTTTCACTGTGATTGTTCAGAAGTGTGTTTTGAGTGTGTGTGTTTTTCTGCTGCAACTTTAACAATTCAGGACACAGATCGGATTGTCAGCTTTTTCCTTTCTCTGCTTCTTTGCCTTTAGCAGCAGTCTTAATGCAGAAATGAAACTGGTGAAGGATTTCTGAGAATGAACATAGCTGTCTTAAATGGTGCAACACAACTTTGTTTTAAGAGAGCTTTTGAGGGCTTCAAGATTTTTGTTTAGGTTGGGCTCTTATGGTTGTTTACTACTTTCAGGGATTGTGGCTGGCAACCTGCTGAGAAGATTTGAGGAGGCAAGGATAGGCATCTGGGGGGTGAGGGGAGGCATCTTGCCGATGTACAATGTCACTTCTGGCACAAAACTGGCACACAACTCTTGCAGGTTGATGTGCTAGGATTTGCCCAAAACTCCGTGGTTAAACCTTGAGTGTCATCCTGACGCAATGACATCTCTTCTTAGCTTGCTATGGAAGTGACAGTGCCCCCATTTTCCCCATCCCCTCCTGCCAGCTTGTAAAGTGCTGACAAGGAGACCTAGCCACCCTACTACTTAAATAAATGAGTACTAGAAGCTCCAGAAAAACCTTGTCAAACCTAAACATATGGCAAGGTGTTTAAGTTTAGGATTAGGCTTCATCTTGAAAGTATTATGTCAGTTTCACTGAAGAAAACATCAGAATATGATGGTTAGGGGTGAAAAGATGACCTTCCTGTGTTATGATTTTTTTTCCCTACCAAGCTCGCAATGGTCATTTAGGACTCAACGCAAATGGGATGTTTCTTGTGCTTGGGTGTTCTTTTTAAAATAACTACCATTCAAAAAGGCTTGCAAAGTGGGTGGTGGCACGGGTGCTTTCTGCAAGCAGAGATGGAGATGCGAGTAACAACAACTGTTTGGTATACTGAGGTCCTAGCAACTTCCGATGCACCTTGTTTTATAGAGGCCTGTTCCATAGATGGAAGCAGAAATTGAAGCAGGCCCAACCATATAGAAGGGTACCCCGAGATACAGTTCTATAAACAGTGGATTTGGCATTTCATTACACAAAGAAGTAAGGACCTTTCACCAACTGGGTAACCTATAGACCAAGTGAGGCACACAGTTCCCATCACATACAGGAGAGAAGTGGTCACAGCCTTCCTCCTTTCAGTGAGGAGAAGGATCATGTGAAATAAGCTAGCACACAGGTCGATATAAAAATATATAACAACCTGCCATGATTCATATGAAGTTCTTGCACAAGTAAGGAGTTCTCCATCCATTCCCCCCTTTTTTTAAAAAAAAAAGTGGGAAATGATTTTGCATGTATTTTGGAGAATCTCTCAGATCAAAGTTTGAGTCCAGGGGCACCTTTAAGACCAACAAAGTTTTATTCTGGGTATAAGCTTATATGTACAAGCACACTTTTACTAAAGAAGTGTGTGCCACTGGACTCAAGCTTTGTTCTGCTGCTTCAGACCAACACAGCTACCCACCTGAATCTCTAGGATAGGTGTGAGGGATGTTCTTCCAGTTCTCAGAAGTGGACAGCCTCAGCACCAGCATAATAGCTCTCTGTTAGAGGGTACCAAGCTGTCTGCTACTGGAAGGGTTAATGTATGCCTCTAACAATGAAACCACTTCTTGAATTCATACACCCAGGGCTCTTTTCGGGCAGGAACGCACAGGAACGGAGTTCCGGCTGGCTCCCGAATTGGCCACGCCCAGCAGGAGCTCATTAGCATAATAGGCCACACCCAATAGCAGAAATTCGTTAGGATTGGCTACATTAGGGAATGTGTGGCCTAACATGCAAAGGACTTCCTGCTACAAAAAAAGCCCTGGATTTTGACAACAAACAAGGTAAACAGAATAAGAAGAGAAAGGTGAGTGTGGCTGGATGACCATACTTCTGGTAACATAGCGGAGTGGCCTAATGTGCTAATGAGCGGTGCTGTCAGGGTGTGACCTAATATGCTAATGGTTTTGCTGTTGGGTGTGGACTACTATGCTAATGAGTTCCTGCTGGGCTTTTTCTACAAAAAGAGCCCTGCTACACCACTTTATGCCATTTAAAATGGAGAGTAGAGATGCAACTGTGTTTCACAACCCAGCCATTTTGACTGTTTTCTGAACAGCTGCAACAAATAACACAATAAGAGCTTCAAGCTACAGAGATCTAACAGTTT